TGGTCCCACGCCCACACTGCAGCGTGGACCCCATGGGTCTAATGGACAATGGGCGGAGCCGTGTACCTTAGGCTTTTACGCTGCAGAGCTCGCAAATAAATTACTAATGAGTTTTATCTAAACTTCCTTAGGTACTCACCAGTCAACGCAGAGGCATTTCACGAAAACACTCCACACATTAGCATATATCAGATAGGAAATGATTTATGAATATGCTAAGGGACCAAAGCTGCTAAGTCTGTTGGCGAAGTCTATTGAGCTTGGCATCGAGGCTATGCCTACAATGAAGGACAGTTATGCTGAATTACAACCACCCCTATCAACGTTACAGTGCTTCGAAATGGGGTGCGCCCTGGAGCGACTTATGCAAAGCCGGCTTTCATAAAAGGTCACAGTAAAGGTCAGATAAGTATAACTGAGGTAACATAGAGCACATGCCTCATAGGTTTAGTGTATTGACGGGAGATAGTGACTGAAGTGGATGCGAAGCGTGCTCAGGCATCGCAGGGCAGCTGACGCTGTTTAGATCGGCTCAAACGTTCGCCGGATACTGAATACTGAACAAAAGACAGCAAACGGGGTCTACATAGATTATATATGGATAGATTATATATAGATTATATATAGATAGATTATATAACCAGCCACAGCCGCTGGACAGCGAATGTCGACTTAGCTGGGTTGTTTGAGTTGAGTCTCATCACTTAGGTCAATGTCGAGTTCAGTCAAGCCAAAAGCATCTCTTAAGAGCAATGATAAGTTTCTCCCCATGATAATCTACTTTATATTTTGTTTTTAACACGGATGTTCTACATAGTTACCGGAAAGAATAAGGTAGGCTTGAAGCGTGGAGCAAAGGTAATTTGATTTGAAAAACTGTAACTGAGCTTTTACTGCACAATTGAGCATTAGAGCTGTTTTGAAATTGCATTCCTCGACGTTTTCTCGCTAGGCTCGATCCAATTGTTCACTGCTTTAACATTATTTCCCGAGGCCGCCTTTTATTGATATCGAACGTCTTACATTACAATATTTATCGCCTGCGAGACATGATCAAACGGCTATGGTCGCTCCATATCACTGTTAGAATCAATCGGAGTGGCGGTGGCGGCGCCGTCTGCAGCCGTGTTCGGTCAGAGCCGCGGCGGAGGCCGGCCCGAACCGGCGGCAGAGGCGGGTCTCGGTCGGCTCAATACGGGCCGCTGCCGCCACCGTCACTCTGGAGACACGCCCCCGCCGTCTGCCGGGGGGACTGAGGGCTGGGTCCCCGCCGTCTGCTGGGGGGACTGAGGGCTGCCCACAGTCTGCTGGGAGGGACTGAGAAAGCTGGGTCCCCGCCGTCTGCCGGGGGACTGAGAGCTGGGTCCCTGCCGTCCGCCGGGGGGGGGGGGGGGAGGGAGGGACCGAGAGCTGGGTCCCCACAGTCTGCCGGGGGGACTGAGAGCTGGGTCCCCACAGTCTGCCGGGAGGACTGAGAGCTGGGTCCCCACTCCCCTGTCCCCGCAGTCTGCCGGGGGGACTGAGAGCTGGGTCCCCGCGGTCAGCCGGGAGGGATAATGCGGGCTGGGCCGAGCCTCCGCTGCCACACAGACTGCGGGAGCTACACCGAAGCTTCCTGCTGGAAGCGACTGACAGGGAGCCGCTGCGACACCAACTGACGGAGGCTGGACGAAACCGGGTTCAGCCGCATTACGCATTACATTGTAGCTGATCCAGAAATATCTACTGGAAAGATATTGCAGAAAAACTTTCAAAGAAGTTTCTAAAAAAAAATCGAATAAAAAACTCGAATGTATTCTCTTATTCCAAACATTTGTCTAATAAAACTATACGTTTTATTCTTCCGATATGAAGACTCCAAAGTTTCATAACTATCGCACGCTGCGAAGTGAAGGGACAGGAGAAATTTGCCTCTGATCACTGATGCTCCTAGTTAGATCCGACCGGTTACAATGCATCTGATGCTGCTTGAGATTTATACCGCCACCGACGTGATGCCACGAAGCATCAGAGCGCCTACAAAGTAAACATTAACTGGTGTAAGCACCGGCGCTAATGATCTTACATTTACTGAGCACAGGCGTGGGTGAGAGGTCGGGTGCTGCAGTCAGATAGGAGAAAGGGTGCAATTTTGAGAACAGTCTGGAACAGTTTGCTTTCCCCACTTTAAAAGATTTTCTTTTTATTCGAAATTGACATGGCCGTTAAGTTCGGCACTTTGAATATTTTGTGAATTGACATGTGTGAACTGTTTGCGTTTATGTGACATGCAAACCGAATCTATTTTGAACAAGCATTCGTCTATCGGTATTTTTCTACTGAAATAAATCGTCAGTACATCCGATGAATCCAGGGTATCCAGCGTGTGGGCGTCGAATGCGGGATCTGAAGTCATGTTGAGTCCCATCCAATCATAGCGGAACGTCTCCGATGTGCTTCCAAATGATTTGTTCTTGCTTTGTAGCCATATGATGTCGCCCAAAAATAGGCACACTCATTCCACTTTTAGCTCAATGGAGGCGGCACCATTCCGCTTTCAGCCTCGAAGGAGAACTGAAGTGACCTCTATCACGGCGGAGAAATTCCCATCCGCTGCTCCGTCGACACAGCGTTCTAACTGGAATCAGCGCTCTTCAAACACTTTTAGAGCCGACATTTTTTTTAAGTTTTAAAGGTTATAAAAGTTTGCGATAAAAAGCATTGCATTAAGTGCATGCGCTCGCAATTCGCAAATGTCATGACATGTCTGAAACTCTTATTTCTCTCAGTGATCATCAAGTCGTCCTGTGTATGAATTTCCATTCGTATGAAGATCTGAATCTACTTAAAGTTTTTTATGTCGAGTTGCCAGCAGACTTATTTCGTCGAAATAGCAGTAGCCCGGAATATTCCGTAGGACATAACAATCGCAACCAAATGCAATATCACGATTAACGATATGAAAAAGGGCCTAGTCATACAAATATTTTCCTACACGTTAACTGTTTTATTAACGCTCATCACCTCAAACACCCCGCTCAAGAGTAAAAGAATACAAATGCGAAAACAGGACTGCTCCTTTCAAAACCATCTCGACGTTTCGTGCCTTTCACTTCAGACAACGCACCTCGTAATTCACCTCTGTGTTACTAGGCACAATCCACACTGCGTTAATGACCTCACTCCACTCGACAGTCCACAGCCCACCTGATCGTCCTCCATCAGCCTGCACTGACCTGTCCGCAGCCAATCTACCGCTACCCAGTCGTAGGGCTGACCGGTCCGCAGCCAATCTACCGCTACACAGTCGTAGGTCTGACCTGACAGCAGCCAAAAGCCGCAGGTTTGACATGTCAGCAGCCAACCTGCCGCTACCCAGCTGCGGGTCTGACCTGTCAGCCTTCCGCAAGTCTGACCTGACAGCAGTCAGCGCATGCCGCTTCCCAGTCGCAGGGCTGCGCTGACAGCAGCCAAAAGCTGCAGGTTCGACCTGTCAGCAGCCAACCTGCCGCTACCCAGTCGTAGGGCTGACCGGTCCGCAGACAACCTGCCGCTACCCAGTCGCAGGTCTGACCTGACAGCAGCCAATCTACCGCTACCCAGTCGCAGGGCTGACCTGACAGCAGCCAACCTGCCACTACCCAGTCGCAGGGCTGCGCTGACAGCAGCCAAAAGCCGCAGGTTTGACCTGTCAGCAGCCAATCTGCCGCTACCCAGTCGTAGGGCTGACCGGTCAGCAGACAACCTGCCGCTACCCAGCCGCAGGTCTGACCTGACAGCAGCCAAAAGCCGCAGGTTTGACCTGTCAGCAGCCAATCTGCCGCTACCCAGCCGCGGGTCTGACCTGTCAGCCTTCCGCAGGTCTGACCTGTCCGCAGCCAATCTGCCGCTACACAGTCGTAGGGCTACCTGACAGCAGCCAAAAGCCGAAGGTTTGACCCGTCAGCAGCCAATCTGCCGCTACCCAGCCGCGGGTCTGACCGGTCAGCAGCCGCAGGTCTGACCTGTCCGCGGCCAGCCAGTCGCTACCAGTCGCAGGTCCGCCCGCCTGCTGCGGCAGCGACCTGCAGAATTGGACCAGCCCATTCCCTGTGGTTTTCAGAACAAATGTCGCACTGTGTCACGCACTATTGGAAACAGAGCCGCTCTGGACTGTGTTTTCTCCGTGGGCCGTATCCGGGCGCCACTACCCCTGGGAGGTAGCGATGCGATCAACAAAGGTGTAAAGGGAGTCGCAGCCTGGGCTGCTGCGGAATATTGCATGAGGGAGGAGGTCTACTGCACGCTGCGGTTTGCATCTGCTTCGGTTCGTTTATAGCTAAAGCACCAAAAAGTATATTTTGTAAGTAAACCAAGTCACGCCTGTGAATGCTGAGTACCTGGGTATCGGTACCTGGCTACGTCTGGAGCACTCCTGAAAGACCATTAGGTATAATTGTGATATTTATTTGTTTCGCGACCTTTTCAAGGTCCGAGGTCGAGAATATACTATGTCTGGGATTAGCTACATGTTTTAAGAATAGAAAGACAAAAAAAAAACTTTGATGAACGTGTGCACTTACGAGTATGGAGCCGGACTTGCCAGGGTCAGGCCTCATTATTTCTTTCTGTCAGATTTGACAGAAAGAATTAAGAAATGATGAGGTAGTTTGGTTAGCGTGAACGAATGACTGTGCAGTGTTCGATACAAATTTTACCTTCATTTAGTTCTTGAAACTCAACAGCTCCTGTTTTCAAGTATGGCTCATGACGAAAGTCTACCAGAATTCTTTGGTGGGCGAAAGAATGGATGCACTGCCTTAATCCAACATAAATCAAAAGCTGCGCCTACGCCAACGCCTACGTACGCCCATACCATTCTCCTCCCACGTTCGTCGTTCATTCGTCGAATGCCTTGTGCCCCATTCCATGCACTTAAAGCTCGGACTTGGCAACCAAAAGTCAGGCGGACTGGCAAGACAGTAATTATCATCCAGGGTGACAAACAGACTGTCGCGGAGCCTCTGAGAAAGGGATCTCACCTGTGACGCACGGGTTGGCCTGCAGGAACTTCTGCTTCATGCGGCGCGTGCTCCGTATGAGTCCCACCTCCACCGGTGCCTCGATGGCCGAGAAAATGGCCGCTCCCACCACCAAGAACACCAGATAGAACATCACCAGGCAGAGGAGGCGAACATTGCCGCGGCGGGGCTTCAGCTTGGTGAGCCGCAGCGCGGCAACCCTGTCCACCAGGTCAGTCACCATGGTCGGCTGCCTGGGCCCCTCCAGCTCGGCAGAGGTCAATTACGGCCACCGGAGGTCACTGGGGTCACCGGGAGTCGCCGGGGGTCACCGTCAGACCCGCGATCGTCCGTGACGTGCAGGACTTCTGTATCGGTCACTGTGACTCTGGACCTTTTCACTAGTCACTAGCACAGAATAACAGCACGAGAACGACTGCTACCCTAAAATGGTAAACGCAAGGGTCCTTCACAGAAATCCGGAACACAATAAGGCTAATGTCTAAATCCACATCGAGAAGGCCCGCCAGACCTCACACCATCTCGCCGGCACTGATCACCGTGAACCTAAGGACACTGGGGCTTCCACACACGTCAGACGCTGCTGAGCTCCGTTCGGGTCTGGGACGGGCCCGGGTCGCTCCAGGTCGCCTCGGGGCAGCAGCGGCAGCGGCAGCGGGCAGCAGCCGCCTCCGACTGTCGGTCCGTCGGCCGGCGGCACACGGCGGACGCTCGCGCGCGCTGATTGTGTGCCGCCGCCGATCAATGAGAACCACTGGGTGGGTCGGCGGCACAGACGGCCGGCACGCGGCACACAGGGGTCGGTTCGGCAGCACGCGGCACATAGGGGTCGGGTCGGTGGCACAGACGGCCGGCACGCGGCACATAGGGCGGGTCGGCGGCACACAGGGGTCGGGTCGGCGGCACAGAGAGAACGGTTCGGCAGCACGCGGCACAGAAGATGGGTCGGCGGCACACAGGGGATAGGGTCGGCGGCACACAGGGATAGGGTCGGTGGCACACAGGGATAGGGTCGGCGGCACACAGGGATAGGGTCGGCGGCACACAGAGGGCGGGTCGGCGGCACAGAGGGGTCGGGTCGGCGGCACACAGAGGGCGGGTCGGCGGCACACAGGGATAGGGTCGGCGGCACACAGAGGGCGGGTCGGCGGCACAGAGGGGTCGGGTCGGCGGCACACAGAGGGCGGGTCGGCGGCACAGAGGGGTCGGGTCGGCGGCACACAGAGGGCGGGTCGGCGGCACAGAGGGGTCGGGTCGGCGGCACACAGAGGGCGGGTCGGCGGCACAGAGGGGTCGGGTCGGCGGCACACAGAGGGCGGGTCGGCGGCACAGAGGGGTCGGGTCGGCGGCACACAGAGGGCGGGTCGGCGGCACAGAGGGGTCGGGTCGGCGGCACAGACGGCCCAGACGGCTGGATGGGATGGCACACGGTGCTTAGCGGTTGGGTCGGGCCGATGGCGGCTGACGCGTCTTATACAGAACCGGGACGATGTAGACTCGTATTTGCTGGCAGCGTAGATAGGAGAGGGGCAATGCGAAGAACAACGCTTACGCCCCGGGTCATCCTTTGTTGTCCCAGGTGACAGGTCACCTGTCTTCGCCCTTGGTCATCAGGATCTTTTAAGGTCAGGGATGTCGGTCACTGGCCAGGGACCAGGATCACCATTCCCTCCCAACCCCTGGTGATCACTGAACAGTCACCATCAGGGACTTTCATTTATGAGCCAGTCGCTATTGCATCTAATAACTCTCAACGCCGTTTATTGAAGAAAAATATAAAAAAAATCTCGCAGCGCCGGATGTCCACCGCTGGCGAGCTCTTCCACTTTCCGATTTAACTAGCTAAAGTTTATTTCAGAAAGAGAGGAGCGTTTTGCAATTATAATGGTTGATTTCTTTAGAAGCCAGTTGACGTTAGGCTCACTCAAACCAAGCATGCCATGACCATTGACCAGCATCAATTAACATTGCTGACAATGAATCATGCTCATGGAAAACAATGACCAAGGAAAGCGATTTACAAGACGATTTCCAGGCAAACAAGCAATGGCTGTGTTGAGTCGAAAGGCAGCGTCTCCAGTTGTGATGTATTAGGTCGGGTATCACAACGGCAGCAGCAGCAGCAGCACGCGTGGCGAGCCCCAGGTCCAGAATGACCGCCGCCCCCGGCTGCGGCCGTGACCCCGCGCCGCCGGTGGCAGCGGCGCGCCCAGCGGGAGGCGGTCCGCAGTGGCGCGCCCAGCAGTGCGCCGAGAGGTGGCACCGGGCACACAGTGCACTAACACATCCTAACACACCTCCCCCCTAAATAAAATGTCTCTTTTTCTCTGCACTATGAAACAACGCGACGAAACTGCTACTTCGGCCGCGATTGGCCGCGATCAGCTGCAGCAGTGGCATCAGCTGCTCGGTCTGCGCCCTGCGGCGCTGCAGTCGGTGACGTCCGCTCCGGTGACGTCCGCCTGGTGACGGCTGCGCTGGCGACATCTGGCGCTGCTGACGTCTGCGCTGGTGATGGCGTCGAAAATCGAGCGCCGCACCAGCGTCTCAGCGGTGGGACGCCACCTCGCGCTTCACCCCCTCGAGGTTCAGGCCTGCCGATGACACATTGGCTCAGGACATGTCGCACACTTCGGTAACACACAATCGAACAAGTCTGACGTGTGTATGCTTATAAAAAGTAGGTACCATGCCGGAGCACACAGGGATGCAGAGAGTTTGACAACGGTTTTTAATGCAGTCGTTTCAACAAGCGTACCTATTTACAGGTCGGGGTATCTTACCGGAGGCCGGGATACTCTCCCGTATCGTGTGACGTATGTGCTCATCGGTCGTGGTGTTTGTCCCACAGCCGTGTCACTGGGCACCTGCAAAAAGTGTATGAATGGGCTACTCTTCGTAATGATGTTAGAGTCCTGAGATACGGGCTCGTCGGTCCCTTGTTTGTGTTCGTCAGGCGTAGTCTCGTCAGTGGTTCCGATACGGGCTCGTCGGTCCCTTGTTTGTGTTCGTCAGGCGTAGTCTCGTCAGTGGTCCGCTGTCCGTGTTGCTCGGGTGCAGCTGGCCGTTCGGCTGGATCGTCTTTCCTCCGAAGTTTCATAGGTTTCAGATGATTGTGATGAACGTTGGTCTCCTTACCACCGGGCATGCTGACCTTGTAGGTGACTCCGTCTCCTTCCGGACCGTGCCTTCTTAAAATGGTCGCAGGGCCTTTGTAATGAAGGGCCAGCTTACGTTTACCTCCGACGTGAGCCGTATGGTCCCTCACCCACACTTTTTGACCTGGCACATATTCAACCTCTCGCGCCGACTCGTTTTGTGTTTTTGTCATGTCGTTGGAGGCTTTGTTGATGTTTTCGTGAACCTTGGTGTATGCGTCTCTGAGTTGGCGCAGCCTGTTTTCGACATGCGTGTCGACCATCGACACCTCGCGCCTCTGGTTGAAAAGCTCATCGACTGGCAGGCGTGCCTCATACCCATGCACCATAAAAAATGGGGTAAATCCGGTCACCGAGTGTTTGGACGTGTTGTATGCGAAGGTGAGGAAAGCCAAATGTTCGTCCCAATCAGATCCGCAAGGTTTGATAAATTTCGAGCACATGTCCTTGAGCGTGCGGTTGAAGCGCTCCACCATGCCATCGCTCTCAGGCCGATAGGGTGATGTCCGAGTTTTTTCGATTCCTAGTCGTTTGCACAGGGACTGGAAGACCGCAGACTCAAACTGGCGACCTTGATCGCTGTGAAGGCGTTCTGGCACCCCTTGCCGCAATACCATGTCCAGAAGACAATCAGATACAGTTTCAGCTGTCTGGTTCTGCATGGGGTAGGCAAAGACGTATTTGGTAAAGTAGTCCATTGCTACTAAAGCGTACCTATTACCGCGAGCCGACATCGGCATCTCGGTGATATCGATAGCCACTCTTTCAAATGGCCTCGAATAGGCTTCGGTTCGGAGAGTTGCTTGCATCTGTGGTGCTGGGCGACTGCGTCGTTGACAGGTCTCGCAAGTTTCGCAGTAGCGGGCGATGTCCCCGCTCATCCCCAGCCAAAAAAACCTGGTTGCTGCTCTCTCGAGAGTTCTGTCGGTTCCCAGATGACCAGCAGCCTCATCGTCGTGTAGCATGTTCAGGACTGTCTCATGATAGATTTTTGGAAGGACAATGACTGAGCTGTTGCCATGTCGCCTTAGCTTCAAAATCCCGTTCTCCATCGTGAGCTGGTCGAAAAATCGAGCCATGCTACGCAGTGAGCTGTTCTTCTTCTGTAGTTCCTTTTTAGAAGGGAGCTTCTTTGCCTCCAGCCAGTTTCTGACCTCACCCAGTAAGGGGTCGAGCTCCTGCTCCAATTGTAGCTTTTCGAGGGGGATGTCTTCTCGACCGCCCTTGTGGTCGGCGGCCAGCAGCTCTTTGGTCTCCGTCTCAGCTGTGGAGTCAGTGACGTCAATGACGGGCCTCGACAGAGCGTCAGCATTACCATTGTCGCTGCCCTTGCGGTACTCAACGACAAAATCGTAAGTACTGAGCTCAATGGCCCACCGACCTCCCGACCGGTGGCATCGCCGTCGACGTTGATAGATTTTGGGACGTTTTTGAGTGGTTTGTGGTCGGTCAGGACAGTGAACTTGGTGGCCGCGAGGTATTGCCGGAAATGTCTGACAGCCCACACGATGGCCCACAGCTCTTTGTCGTATGCGGGCCACCGTCGTTCAGCTTTGCTGAGGACTTTGCTGGCGTATGCAATTACCCTCTCCTCGCCATCGAGCGTCTCTGAGAGCACCGCTCCCACCGCAGTGTTCGAGGCGTCGGTTGCAAGCCTAAACTCCCCTTTGCATGTCGGTAGAGCCAGGATCGGAGGGGATGTCAGCTTGGTCTTGACGTTTTCGAAACTTTTGATGAGCTCGTCTGTCCATTCCAGTTCTCCCTTCTTTTCTGCGGCTTCTCGGATTGGCCGAACCAGGTCGGAGTAGTTTAAAACGAACCTGGAGTAGTAGCCGGCGAGTCCCAGAAAGCTCTTCAGCTCGTCGGCTGTCCGCGGTCTTGTCCAATTACGCACTTTTTCCACGTTGGCTGGGTCGGGTTCCACGCCTCTCCTCCCCACCTTGTGTCCGAGGAACACCACTTCGTCTCGGGCCAAGCAGCACTTCTTTGGTTTCAGCTTCATTCCCGCTGTTCTGATCCTGTGAAATACTTCCTCCAGGTTTTTCAGGTGTTCTCGTTCGGACTCGCCAAACACAATTATGTCGTCGATATAGACGAGGCAGCTCTTGGAGTCCATTCCAGCCAGCACCAGCTCCATCAGCCGCTGGAATGTGGCTCCTGCGTTCTTCAGACCGAACGGCATCGCTCGGAAGTGGTGGAGACCTTTTCCTGTGCTGAAGGCAGTCTTCTCCCTGTCCTTCTCAGCGACGTCAACCTGCCAGTAACCTGACGCCATGTCGAGGGTTGAGAAAAACTTTGCTCCGGCGAGGCTGTCGAGGCTCTCGTCCACCCTCGGCAGAGGGACTGGCAAGCTTTGTGTGACAGAATTCACTGCTCGGAGATCGACGCAGAATCTGAAAGTGCCGTCTTTCTTTTTTGCAAGGACAATTGGTGAGCACCAAGGGCTGGAACTCTCCTCAATGATCCCTTCTTTCAGCATCTTTTCTTTTTGTCTTTCCACCTCGTCTCTCAGCTTTACTGGGATTCGTCGTGGCCGTTGACGTACTGGCGGTGCACCACCAGTTTCGATCTGGTGTTGAAGGAGAGTCGTTTTTTCCGATGTCTGCCTCGCCTTTGCTAAAAACATCACTGAATTCCATCACTAGCTGTCTTAATGAGGTCTTTCCCGTTTTTGAGAGGACTGCCGACTCCAGCTTGAGCTCCTTCACGAGTTCATCGATCGTCCCCTCGTCGACTGCGGCTGAAGCAGCCGATGTGTCGGGAACGTCGTACATACCTCTCCCATTCTCTTGGATTGAGTACAGAAGTCCTATCTCTGTACCTGGAGGGATCGTGACTGCCTGGCTACCGATGTTTGCGATTTGGACCGGGACCTTGGCTTCGCTCGTCACCGCAGTAACCACGCGGGGGATTCTCCATTCCTGCTCGTTCCCCACGGGCTGTGGCTCGAGCACGCCTTGCCAACTGACTTCCCTGGTGACTTTGACACCACCGTCAGGAATCTCGACGTCGACCTGAACGAGCGTCTGAGACTTTGCCGGTATTGTAACGGGCGAGCATGTTAGCACCCTGGCACGCTGGGGTCGCAGCTCAGCGTATGTTGGGAGGGGAATCTCAAGGCTGCTCACCCTGAAGACCCCTGCCTTGTCATCCAGCACTGTTTTGTGTTGGCAGCAGAAGTCTCGGCCGAGAACGACCTGGTAAATCAAGCCTGGAATGACCAACATGGGCTGGATGAACTGCAGAGTCTGTATTGAAAAGGACACTTCTGCTTGTGTGTTGACCTGTATTTTCTGTCCACCCGCTTGCGTTATTGTTCCAAAATATCCTTTGTGTGACGCTTCTTTCGGTACAGCTGCTTGAGCGAATTCTTGTCCGATCATTGACGCATCGGCTCCGGAATCTACGAGGGCCCATACAATGCGTCCTTCGACTTCGATTTTGATTACTGCTGCACGTTTTGGGCTTGCTTCTTGTTCCTCTCCGACTGGTGCTTGCCCTTCAGCACCAGTCAATGACCGTTTCCCTGCTGCATGCCCTGGTGCGGTCCGGCTGGGTACTGTGGACTCCTGCCACCGGTCTGTCTCCAACAGTCGGCCGCCCAGTGTCCTTGTCTCCCGCAATTCAAACATTTCGTGTTTTCCATGTTCTGTGGGGTGCTCGACAAACCGAGGCCACCCGCCGAAACCGGCGTCCTCCAGCATTCGGTTATCGAATGCCCGTGCCTCCCGCATCCCAGACACTGCAGGTTCTTAGCTGCGCTGCGCGCCGTCCCTGGGGTCCCGGGCGTCGCCCCTGGGGGCCTAACCTGTCCTCGCTGGCGTCTGTCCAAAAGCTGTGGACAATTGCGCTTGAAATGGTTGGTATCGCCACACTGGAAACAGCCACGCTGATTGCTGCTGATCGCGTTTGGTGTTCCGTTTGTGCCTCGTTTTATTTGAGCCCTTACCTCCTGTTCGAGAGAAAACGTACCGTGCCGCACAGCGACGGCAGCGCGCGGCGGGCACGGCCGAGCCCGCCGTCCACGTGGTCCTCTGCAGGGCCTGGGGGGTCATCTGGAGCGCATGTGTGTGCTGACCGGCCCCAACGCGCCGGGCCGGCCGCCGCCGGCCGGCTCGGCAGTTCGCGACGCGACGACGACGGCGACGCGGCTCCGCCGGCGCAACGGCGCCGGTGTCGTACGATTCGATTGACGTGCAGCGTGTGACGAGTAATCCAGAAATAGACATTCATCTAAGAACTCTTTTGGTCCTCCGGTTAATGAAACGATACGATCAGCTACGCAATTCTTAGTGAACTGGACGATTACACGAACACTTTGGTCTGCCGTGCCGGATCAGAGTAAACGACCACGAATCACACGAACATTCTGGTCCTCCGGGCCGGATATCAGTGAACTAGTGTGATGGATTTACAGTGACGACGCGGTGTTGTGAACTGTGAGACAATGTCTGACAAACGGTCACGACACGACAGTGATGCAAAATCGCAACAAGGTCACCGGAGCTCATACCACACGAGGAGTGAGGCGAGCTTCAGCACGGCGTCCTCCGGCCTCAGTGAAGCCCGCCGCCGAGCTGCGCTAAGCAAGCTCCAGGCGGATCAAACCCAGCGCGCGGCCGCGGCCAAGGCTGAGCTGGCCCGGCGTCTGGCAGAGGCGGAGGCAGCCCTGGAGGCACAGGCGGCGAAGGATGAAGCTGAGCGCTGTCAGCTGGAGCTGGAGCTGCTAGAGCAGGAGGAGCGTGGCTCGCAGCCTCGTTCGTCCGCTCCACCGTCCGTCGCTGGTCTTCCGGTGGTCGCAACAGAGCCACCGGCACGAGTGTGCGTGTCTCAACAGATGGACGAGTCAGTCACGCGCACCCGACAGTGGCTGGCTCAATCTCAGCCGCACGTGCCGCCGGCGTATACGGCTCCTGTCGGCACTCTACCTCCACCTGCGGTGCGGCTGCAGCACCCGTCCCGTGACGACAACCGAGCGGTCCCGCATCTGCCGCGCATTACGCTGGAAAAGTTCGGCGGCTCTGCCATCGAGTGGCCGCGGTGGATAGCCCTCTTCAAAGCGCTGGTGCACGACCGCGCTGATCTCACCGACGTGGAACGGCTAACCTACCTGCAGACTCACCTGACGGGGCCGGCGAAGGAGTCTGTGCGCGGCATGCTCTGCGACGCCAGCCTCTACAGCACCGCCCTGGGTGAGCTGGAACGAGAGTTTGGTGACCCGTCCCGTGTGATACACGCCACGATGAAAAGACTCCTCACAGCGCGGCCGGTGAAAGATGGCGATCTGTCAGCGCTGACAGAGCTGTCTCGTGAGCTCCACACCGCGGTGAGCGTCTTACAGTGTTTGCACTACGATCACGACCTTGCCGCCGCCACGAACGTCACCACTGTGACTGGGAAGCTACCAGCCTCCCTCGCCTGGAGGTGGGGCGAGCACATGGTGGAAAACGGCATCACTCGTCCGACGCTCGTCGATCTCGACGAATGGCTTCGCCGTCATGTGTCAGCTGGTCGGTTGGCCTTGAACGTGACCACCAAGCAGCTGCCGAAGGTCGAGGCTAATGACGCTGAGTGCCGCCCGAGACGCGTGTTTACCACCACGTCGGCACGGCCCGCGCCGGCGGCTGTAAAGCGGGGGAGGACGGCGGCCATAAAATCATCAGTGGACGGGAACAGCGCCGGCTGTGCCATGTGTCAGCAAACACACCAGCTCCAGCGCTGTGACAAATTTCTCGCGTTGACTGTGAGTGAAAGGGCAGAGTTTGTCGGCAGAAACAGACTGTGTTTCAACTGCCTGGGCCGCGATCACATCAGCGCTACGTGTCCCAGTGATGCACGATGTGACGCGGAGCACTGCAGCAGGCGTCATCACGCGCTGCTGCACAACGGCAGACGAGTGTTTCCGCGGAGTGATAACGCTGGTGGCACGCCGTCATCCACCAAACACGTCGGCACAGCGTCGGTCGAACCTCGCGGTCATATTCTGCTGCAGGTGGTACCCATCACCGTGAATGGTCCGGCAGGTAGCCGCACCACAAACGCGCTATTGGACTTAGGAAGCCAGGTCACACTGGTCACCGACGGCCTGTGTGACCGGCTCGGCATCTCGGGGCCCGCGGGCAAATTGTTGCTGAGCACTCTGAACGGGAACCAAACGATGCAGTCACGGCGCGTATCCCTTGCTGTTGAGGCTGTGGGCGGCGACGGCAAGGCGCACTGCATACAAAACGCCCAAACGACGCCGACGTTAAACGTGTCAGCCAAGGTCATGGACTGCACGGTGGCAAAGGAGGAATGGCCGCACCTGGCCGACCTGGATCTCCCCAGCGCCACCCGCGACCCGGTGGAGGTGCTCCTGGGGACGGACGCCATCGAACTAATCGTGCCACGGGAAGTGATTGAAGGGCCGCCGGGGACGCCGTGCGCAGTAAAAACCCTGCTGGGATGGTCAGTGACCGGGCGAGTGCCGGGGCGTTCCATGTATGAACAAGGTGAGCACGCTGTGCACCATGTACAGTCACCAGCACTTGCTACTAATCACCTCGTTTTTGTTCAGTAGTTTGAAGACCGATCAATTGTCAGTCGCGCAAGATACGTCAAACGATCCGTTTGGTCCTCCGATTTTCGAATATCTAGCTTGTTTTTGTATATTCGAAGCATTTTGGGATGGGGAGCCAAAAAACCTCTTTTCTGCCCTAAAGTGTGCCCCAAGATGTCGTAGAACCTAGCCCCGCCTCTGATCCACAGACCACTAGTGCCATCTCTTGTCAGCCGAACAAGCCGCAGAAGTAAATAATGTCACGTGACCTTTCCACACGCTACAATTACTACGCAGCTGTAGTGGGGGAAGCGGGGCGGAGGCGTGGAGAGGGACGCGATCGGTCGGCTGGGGTCAGGTCGCCGAGGTCAGAGGTCATCCGCCGGAGGGTGTTTGAGCGGTTGGGCCGTGTGGGCTGGGGCCTGCGGAGTGGGGAGCGCCTGGACCTGTCTGGAAACACGCCCTACAACGCTGTGACAGTCGATAATATTGTGAGGAAAGAGAGAGAGAGAGAGAGAGAGAGAGAGGGAGATGGAGAGGAAGAGAGAGAGGGAGAGAGAGAGGAAAGAGAGAAAGAGAGAGAGAGAGGGAGAGAGAAAGAGAGAGGGAGAGAGAGAGAGAAAGAGAGGAAGAGAGAGAGAGAGAAAGAGAGGAAGAGAGAGAGAGAGAGAAATAGAGAGAGAGAGAGAGAGAGAGAGAGAGAGAGAGAGAGAGGGAGATAAGGAGAGCGAGAGATGGAGAGCGAAGAGAGAGAGAGAGAGAGAGAGAGAGAGTCAGAGCGAGAGAGAGCGAGAGAGAGAAAGAGAGAGAGCGAGAAAGCGAGAGAGAGCGAGAGCGAGAGAGAGAGAGAGAGAGAGAGAGAGAGAGAGAGAGAGAGAGAGAGAGAGAGAGAGAGAGAGAGAGAGAGAGATAGAGAGAGAGAAAAAAAACTGAAAAGGAAAACCAGAGAGGGTAAAATGAGAAAGAGGGCAATGGGTAAATCAGTGAGAGGGAGCGAGAGAGGAAATATTTAGTTGTGTCAGCTTGTTTCACATGTAAAATGCAAATTGGCTTTCCATCATTACAGCTTCGGATTGGAAATTAAATCTTAGCATCCTTGTGATAAACCCACGTTGACGGGATGCAGTAGCGGCGGAACACCTTCAATTAAGTGGGGGGGGGGGGGGGCACTGCCGACTTTCGGTCCTATTATTTCCATGCAACGCTCATAGGGCTAATGTTGAAATGCCAAAATCAAACGGGGGCACGGTGCCTCGTGCCCCGGTGCTCTCCCCGTTCCGCCGCCTATTACGGGATGGGGACGCTTTTATGGTCGTCGTTGGAAGCTCGGCACTAATGGGATCTGGGGATGATGTTGAAGGTTTCGCAAATGTGTCATAAAAGATGCTATTTTTTTGCACATCCCATTAAACATTTTTTACGTTTGCTATGAAAATGTTAGGCCCAGTTCCTTCAAGATCAGGTCCACGACTCCACAGCTTACAACAGGAGCTAGCTAACATAACAATTAACCCGCGCCGTGTTGGTGGCATGAACTTTCCATCGAGTGCTGGGGGGGGGGGGCGTTTTACGCCCCTCCGTCTTCCATCGAGTGCTGGGGGGGGGGCTCCGTCTAACTCGGTTCCTGGGCCACGTAGCGACACACGGTAAGCGACAATCGAAAGAGCGTCAAAAATAAGGAGGAAAACACTCGGTCATTTTAAGGTCAGGGCAAAGGTCAGGTCACCAGGGTTCATCAAAGGTTAAATTTTGTTGATTTCAACGATTTCGAACACCCGACGGCTAACTCGGGAACCAATAGAGCTACAGCGCCGCGGAAAAGCGCATTCGATAGCTCTTTTAACGCTTTTTCGCCAACATGTCCTCAAATTTGACCTCAGATCAACGGTTTAGCCCCCAGAGGGCACCGCTCTGATTGACCTCAAATTTGACCTCAGATCAACGGTGTTTTCACCGCTCTAGCACGTCTCTGTCAAAAGTCAAAAAACTGCTGAAGACCTTTTATGTCCTAAAATGACCTCAGGGGCACACACAGGGGTCACAGGTGCAATTTTCCGATTCAGTGTGTCATGCTTACCTATGGACCGATGTTTGAGAGGGTGTAGAACGAAATTCGTCCAAAAGAGGCCCATTTCAATTTTCTCCCATTGACTTATACCTAATGGAGCAGTCGCAAAACTGACCTGACCTTAGGTCACAGACATAAAAAATCCAAGGTATCCATTTTATACATACTGTTACCCTAAGCAATTACTGAAAGTTTTAAAGTGATCATTCAGTCGGTGTAGCTACAACGAGCTTTCGAATTTTTTCTGAGGTAAGGTCACTTGACGTTACCTGGTGACCTGACCTTGAATGAGGCTACGCGTCGCGTCGCCGTTTTTGAGATATTCGCGAAAAACCTGAGGGGGAAGGGCGTAACCCCCCCCCCCCTCAGCAAGGCGCGGGTGGTCGACTCGGACTGAACAAATGCCTTTAAAGGGACCCTCCCGCCTTCAAAAAAGTTTATGAATTGGCATGAAAGTGATGTCGCTCGGTTCAGAAAGAGCGAAAACGAGTATCTACCAAATTTCACCGAAAAATATTCACCGGTTTTCAAGATATTAGACTTTTACTTTTGTTTACTTTTTTGGGATCTCCGCTGTTTCTAGCGACTTTATTTTAGAAGTGCGGCGTTTGCGGCAGATGTTGCGCGCAAATAGCATATACCACCGCGTGCTACAAAACGTTTTAGTCAAACATTTAAAAATCGTTAGATATTTGCGCTGACGTCACACATTCAGAGGGGTATTCCTAAGCATTAGCCCCTCTGAATCAAAATGCTGCAATTTTGAAATTCAATATTTCCGATTTAAGGCATTTCTCGATGTTGCGAGTGCCGAAACCGGTAATTGTGAGCCAGGGACCCCATTTTGGCTATCTCAACTCAAATCTAATGTTAAGGTGGGAGGGTCCCTTTAACGTTTAACGGTTGAATAAAGTGAGAGGATTGAGGTAGGCTTGTATCGGATTTTCTTCTGCTTGTCGGTAGTTTAGGTTGAAGTTAATTTCGCGAGCTGTCCATAATCATTCAAGAGGGAAAATTCAGCTGCACATCGTTCGGGTCAAAGTAATACCAAACATTCTCAAATTTTGTAGTAAAGAGCCAGTAGTCTACGAATATATTAAAAAAAAAACAATTAGAAAAAGAATAAGCGGACCGGTTTCGTCTATCAAAGACTTCTTCAGCGCTTTTTTCAAAAACGTATAAGAAGAAAACTAGCACAGTGACAATCGTTTGAAATAAAATTGGATTCAGTAAGAACTAAGAACTTCATTGTCCGAAAACCGCTGACAGTTGATAGCTCAATGACACTTAGAGCCGTGCATAAGGATGCGTGAAAACACTCCTCATCTCGTTCTATTACGAGAGGACCATGTCATGGCGTGAGAAAGGTGTTCTCAAAATAAATGACACTGTATGAGTGAATAAATATTCCGCGCCCCCTTGGGCTATTGGCGGACCCTACCACCTGATCGGGTGGTGCAGCCGTTTCGCCCTCCACCTGAGATCTCGGAAAGTTACCGACCGATTTTAAACATTCAAAATGGGTTCGATAGCCCCACCAGGGAACTACCTTGTTACCAGGTTTCGTTGACCTAGGTGCAACCCATGACGTCACAAAGCAGGTCAAAGGTCGCATTTTTTCACCGATTTAGTCTAAGGAATGCGTTACAGTCAGTTAACACATCAAATAAAAGGCATGTTATCGAAAAACATCGATGGAGCGTTGGTTGTCTAATACATATGTTGCCTAAAGAGGTCATTGATGCCAGGTCAGTTCACAGAGGTCAGGTCACTAAGGCTCACAATATGAACCCAACTATGCTAGGGTCGTGTGATGCATGTTTTATGGCCAATTTTACATTTAAAATTCAATGGTGTGAGCTAGACGGCCATTGGGGCCAGGTAAGATTACATTCTGGTGGAGGTCAGGTCAAGGTCAGGTCAAAGTAGGTCAAATTTCAAAGTTAATATTTTGCATAAAAGGGGTATCTATTCGATGCAGCTCGTCACAGGAAATCCAATGGTGGCCTTTGGCTTGCTTTGTGTGTTCTGTGACGGCTAAAAATTGAATTTGAAAATTTTACGTAATCAATTTGAGTAATTTTTTTTTTGCCATAACTTTGCTAAAAATAGAGCTATCGAGTTTAAGTTTGGCATATCTAGAGCAGATAGTTCTATAACATATATTTCAGTTTTAATTTTGAATGTTGTTGGTATTTTCGGGGTGTTATACTTCTAATCTATAGTTTTGATGGTCAAAATCAATTTTTGTTTGGAAATAAGAGTTAGCAGTTTGGTAACGCTGTTTATTTTACATCTTTTTGATCTTGAATGTTTTTCGTTATCTTCAAAACTGTAAGCGTGACAGCTCTTCCCGCTAAACCTTTTATTGGGTTGAAAATGACAACATGGCATCCCTCTGACGTCATTTGTGACTAATCTTTCATAAGAGCTCTAGAAAATTTTGGTCACAAGGTGTAAAAATGATGCCCGGATGGGTCTTGAAAGTTTGGTGGCGACATTTGCTATACTTAAGGAGATATCGACTGAAAAGGAGAGAGGGGGCCGTTTCGCGCCGCCCTCTCCCTCAACTGGGCTTTCAGTTGCTGCTCTCACAGAACTCTTGGTTATATTACAACGTAGTGGAATTGCAAGTGGCAATATAAGCTTCCTGCCAGCGCCGGACCAGAGTTTTAACATGCAGGCTGAATTTTAATTAACTTTTGAATTTTTAAACCGTTGAGCTTTTAAGAAGTTGTATGAACTGTTCAGCTCCTTTTTGGTCCATCACAGCGGGCCTGTATGGCATTTGTCAACCAAAATCGAATTAAAAACTTTTTATTTGGTCTGGCTACCTCGCCAACTTCTTAACTGGATCGTTTAGTAGCTTTTGATTGGGCACTGCCCACGTTGTCTGTCTAGCTTTTCGTGTCATAGACATTCTCTATGACACGAGAAGAGGCTGCTGACATCGTTTGTCGCGGTTGGATAATACCAATCCACGTCCCAGTGGCTGCTCGATCGCACTTTTCCTGGCCCACCTCTCCCACCAGGCGAGACTTTGCCCGGCACAGCCGTCGCCTCAGTGCCTCGGGCGGTGACCCGTTCAAAGGGGCTCACAATTCGTATGGTGCCGTGGCTCTCAAACCAATACAGAACAGTGAAACGCAAAGGCTCACTTTCCATATAAGGCGAACGGCTGATTCTGGCGCCGAGGCTTCATTCATGCCAAGGCGCCCAATCACAGCGCCGCATTTCAGTTAGCGTCGGGCGCAAAAGCTACTATGCTCCGCCCCTCCGTCACGTGACCCTGCCCTCACGTGGCCTCAGTCACGTGGTGTTTCCACTTCTTGGCGCATGGCGGCGCTAGTCTCGCAGGGGCGGTGGTAGCTTGCTCCCCCGCCGTCCGGGGGTGATGGGTAGCAACTGCTGGTGACTGTACGTGTCAGTGACGAGAGGAGTGCGCTCATCGAACTTCAGAATCAAGTAAAGCTGTTCTGGACGACCGAGGCTTTCGGTACAAAGTACGAGAGTGCACAACTGCACTCGAAAGCAGATCAGAGAGCCATGTCCATTCTGGAGAGCGTCACGAGACAGACCGGTGACCGATACGAGACCGGTCTCCTGTGGCGTGATGACGAGGTGCAACTCCCAGACAACCGTCAGACTGCTCTTACGCGTCTGAAGGCGGTGGAGAGACGCCTGGACCGAGACCCTGACCTCTGTCGGTCGTATCGAGACACGATGAACGACTATATCACCCAAGGTCACGCCAGCAAGGTCAGCGGAGAGCAGCGCACGCACGGGCGGACGTGGTATCTGCCCCACCACGCCGTTCAAAACCCAAACAAGCCAGGGAAGGTGCGCGTCGTGTTCGACGCGGCGGCGAGGTGTGGTGGCACGTCACTGAACGACAATCTCATCACTGGACCCAACAATCTGAACTCACTCGCCGGCGTGCTCATGAGGTTCCGACAGGGCCGCGTGCCGATCGCGTCTGATGTGAAACAGATGTTTCACCAGATAACCATCCGTGCTGATGACCGACACGCACAACAGTTCCTCTGGCGAGACATGGACACAACAAAGGAACCAGAAACGTATCAAATGAACGTGGTCATATTCGGTGCTAAGTCATCACCAAGCACGGCCACCTACGTGCTACGACGGTGCGCAGAAGACGGCAGAGACAAACACGCTCGGGCGGCCGACAAGGTCATCAGCCGCTTCTACATGGACGACTACCTGGACTCCGTCGACACCGAGAGCGAGGGACGGGAGTTGGTCAACTCGCTCAACTCTCTGCTGAGCGCCGGCGGCTTCCACCTGACAAAATGGACGAGCACGTCAGACGTGGTGCTGAAGGACGTGCCGCCTGAGGACAAGTGTGAGGAGTCGCGCGACCTTGACCTGACCGGTGAGAACAAATGGATGAAGACGCTGGGTGTTCACTGGTGCGCTCAGGATGACCAATTCAGGTTCAAGGTCAAGAAGGTCGACAGTGGGAACACCAAGCGTTCCATCTTGAGCATCACGTCAGCAGTGTTCGACCCGCTGGGCATGTTGGCTCCGTTCATTGTCCGCGCCAAATGTCTTATTCAAAAGATCTGGCTCGGCGGATGGGACTGGGACGAGGCCATCAGCGACAGTGAGCTCCTCGCTCAGTGGCACAGCTGGCAGCGGGAGCTGAACGACACAGACTGCGTGCGAGTGGGCCGCTGTTATCGCCCTGACGACAGAGCGATCGTAAACTGTCAGCTGCACGTGTTCGGTGACGCCTCTGAGCTTGCGTTCGGTGTGGTGGCGTATCTGCGGTTCGAGCTCGAGGATGGCACCGGCTACTGCAGCTTCGTGATGTCCAAGGTGCGGGTCGCACCCATCAAACAGCTCAGCATACCTCGACTGGAGCTACAGGCCGCTGTCATGGCCGTCCGTGTGGCTGACACCATCAAGGCAGAGCATGATATGGCCATCAACGAGACCGTCTTCTGGAGCGACTCGTCCACCGTGCTCCAGTGGATCAACAGCGAGAGCAGGCGGTTTAACACCTTCGTCGCAAACCGCATCGCCGAGATCCAGGATGCGTCAGACGTGACTCAATGGCGACACGTGCCAGGGCCACTGAACCCAGCGGACATATGCAGCCGAGGCTGCTCGGTGACGGAGCTGGCGCCCGGCGGCGTGTGGGTTCAAGGTCCGGCCTTCCTGCGGCGCCGTCACCAGGACTGGCCCGCCGCGCCGCCCCGCACGACGGAGCGCCCGAGAGACGAGGAAACGGCCGAAATGAGGGTAATAGCCTGCGCCACTGGGGGAGCTGAGCCGGCCATAAACCCCAGCCGGTTCTCATCATGGCTCAGGCTGCTGCGTGTGACAGCGTGGGTGTGCAGGTTCGCTCACAACAGCCGCAGCCGAGCAGCTGCTGATCGGCGGACAGGACCGCTGACTGCTGAAGAGCTGAGAGAGGCTGAGCGTGTCTGGCTGCTCAGCACACAGGCCGAACAGTTCGGCGATGAAGTTGCAGCTCTCCAGCACGGAAGGCGGCTCCCATCGAACAGCCGACTGCATCAGCTGACACCCTTCCTGGACTCGACCGGCCTACTGAGAGTCGGGGGCCGGCTGCGCCACGCCCAGATGGACTTCGAGGTCAAGCACCAGGTGATACTACCTGCGCGCGGAGACATCACTCGGCTGATTGTCACCGACCGACACAAGAAGCTCGCCCATTCCGGCGCTGAACACGTGCTGACTCACCTGCGGCAGCAGTTCTGGGTCATCTGTGGCAGAGCCGCAGTGAAGCGGTACACACGTGCCTGCATGCTGTGCCGGAAACGCTCAGCCCGGCCAGCACCGCCGCTGATGGGTGACCTACCAGCCTTCCGAGTGGGCGAGCCGGCCCCGGTCTTCGCTCGTGTAGGAGTGGACTTCTTCGGCCCCCTGACGGTGAAGAAACATCGCAAACGAGAAAAGAGATATGGCTGCCTGTTCACCTGCCTGTCTACCCGAGCAGTCCATATCGAACTGGCTCACTCACTGGACACCGACTCGTTCATCATGGCCATGCGACGAATGATGGCGAGACGGGGCAACGTCAGCCTCGTGTGCTCGGACAATGGCACAAACTTCCGTGCTGGTGAGCGGGAAATGCGGCAGGCACTGCAACAGTGGAACCAGACAAAGATAGCAGACACGCTGTCCCAAGAAGGAGTTGAGTGGAGGTTCAACCCACCAGGAGCACCGCACTTCGGTGGCGTGTTTGAGCGACTGGTCCGGTCAGCCAAACGCGCACTGACGACTGTGCTGGGAGACCGAGCCGTGGACGATGAGACGCTTCGAACGGTCGTCACCGAGGTGGAAGGGCTCCTGAACGGCCGTCCGCTGACCTACATCAGCACCGACCCCGACGACTACCAGCCGCTCACCCCCAATCACTTCCTGATCGGTCGCGCGTCTCCCCAGCTGCCGCCCGGCGTGTTCGTCGACGGTGACCTGTGCGGCCGACGGCGCTGGAAACACACCCAGGTGTTAATCGACCACATCTGGCGGCGCTGGCGCCGGGAATACCTCCCGACACTCACCACGCGGGTGAAATGGCGCGCAGACACGGCTGACGTGCAGCTCGGGGAGCTAGTGCTGGTGACAGACGACAATCTGCCCCGCGGACACTGGCCTGTGGGGCGAGTGGTGAACGTGTTCCCTGGCGCCGACGGCCGAGTGCGGGTGGTTGAAGTGGCCACTGCCACTGGACGCTATAGGCGGCCGGTCTCTCGTCTCTGCCGTCTCGAAGGCGATGGTGACGGACAGTAAATGGACTCAGAGGGATAATGTGTGCGCGAGTGGGGCAACTAGTGAGTCTTTTACGACCACTGTGTGCCGCTGCCGAGCAGCGTCGGAGTCCGGACATGTGTGAGTGTTAACTGCGTCCGTCATTCGTGTTAGGTTGACGTGTGCGTGTGTGAGAATGAGCCGCTCATTCTGTGCGCTGTCGCTTGTGTCAATTGTCATTTGTTTGGTGATTAGCCATTAGCTAACGGCTGTGAGCCGTTCGACAGTGCTACGCGTTCACACTGTCATAGTGCCCCTCCCGGGTCATTCGGCCGGTCGGTCTGTGCGATTAGCAGTTTAGGGCCTTAGAGTGTAGCAGCCTTAGATTGGGACCGACGCGCGGCGCAACCGATGTAGTTTACAGCCTTAGCTTTAGCGTTCGTTTATTGCTGTACGATACGGACGGAGACGCTGCCTGCGAGCAGCTGTTTGCTGTTTCGTTAATGTTTTCTCTCTTACGTTTAGAATTTCCGCGAGCGACGCGAAAATTCGGGCCGGCCATGTTCGAGAGAAAACGTACCGTGCCGCACAGCGACGGCAGCGCGCGGCGGGCACGGCCGAGCCCGCCGTCCACGTGGTCCTCTGCAGGGCCTGGGGGGTCATCTGGAGCGCATGTGTGTGCTGACCGGCCCCAACGCGCCGGGCCGGCCGCCGCCGGCCGGCTCGGCAGTTCGCGACGCGACGACGACGGCGACGCGGCTCCGCCGGCGCAACGGCGCCGGTGTCGTACGATTCGATTGACGTGCAGCGTGTGACGAGTAATCCAGAAATAGACATTCATCTAAGAACTCTTTTGGTCCTCCGGTTAATGAAACGATACGATCAGCTACGCAATTCTTAGTGAACTGGACGATTACACGAACACTTTGGTCTGCCGTGCCGGATCAGAGTAAACGACCACGAATCACACGAACACCTCCCTTAATTCGTCTTTTAACTCACCAATCATCGCCAGAACCTCTGTTGTGTCTGTGCGGTCGCCTCCTGTGTTCCGTGGGCTTCCGCTGGCTGTAGCGTGGCTGGAGGGCATGACCGTCTGCGTGTCCTGACCACCTAACGTGCGCATAACAGACAAGGTGGTTTCTTTTTCTTGGACTTTTTGGGCTACACGAATGGCTTGCTGTAGAGACAGCACAGCGTCATCGTTGTGCAGCTTTTCTTGCAGTTTCAGGTCACTGAGGCCGCACAAGAAATGTTCTAAGGCTGTTTGGTCAAGTTGAGTACTGGACAACCCCGGGTTTGCTATATTTGTGAGCTTTCGAACGCGATCTGCAAAAGCCTCCGTGCTTTCTCCAGGTTGTTGACGTACCTGACGGAGCTCTGCATTCGCTCGTCGGGAATCGACGTTGGCTCCAAATTTCTTTTGCAACGCGCCTTTGAGGTTTTTGTAACTTTTCCTCTCATCCCTTCCCAATTTTCCGCAAACGTCGAGGGCAGTGCCGTCTAATATATGGCCGGCGGTGCCCTGTTCCGGTATTCATTGTCAAAGGTCAGTGACCTTCCGGCTCTGAGTTCACCCAGTTTTGGAAGCGAAGAAACTGAGCCTAAGGCGCGTGCCGTCTGCTCGGCGCCGGCCGCGGCCCAAAATCCCGCAAAGATGCGCCCGCCACGTGCAAACCGCCGAGCGCACCCCCACCAAAATTTAATACAACAAACAGATGCACGCGTCCGACTTACGTTCAAAATTTCACCCCCGTAGCCCGCACCGTTCCGGAGCAATAGCCCGCCAAGCGTGACTGACGCGTTACATACATACATACATACGTACAGACATTTTGATTTTTATAATACACTAGGTGCCGAGCATTACGCGCAGCGTAATAAATCAAGTTTCATCAAAATCGGCCCAGTAGCGGCCGAGTTATGGCCAGAATAAATTTGGCGTCTCCTCCTGGCCGGCGGTGCTCTGTTCCGGTATTCATTGCCAAAGGTCAGTGACCTGCCGGCTCTGATTTCCCTCAGTTTTGCAGCGAAGAAACTGAGCCTAAGGCGCGTGCTCTCTGCTCGGCGCCGGCCGCGGCCCAAAATCCCGCAAAGATGCGCCCGCCACGTGCAAACCACCGAACCCACCCCCACCAAAATTTAATACGACAAACAGATGCACGCGTCCGACTTATGTCCAAAATTCCACCCCCATAGCCCGCACCGTTCCGGAGTAATAGCCCGCCAAGCGTGACTGACGCGTTACATACATACATACATACATACGGACATTTTGATTTTTATATATGTAACTAGAGGGACAGCATTACGCGCAGCGTAAAGAGGGACAGCATTACGCGCAGCGTAATAAACCAAGTTTCATTAAAATCGACCCGGTAGCGGCCGAGTTATGGCCAGAATAAATTTGGCGTCTCCTCCTGGCCGGCGGTGCTCTGTTCCGGTATTCATTGCCAAAGGTCAACGACCTCCGACTCTGTTTTCCCTCATTTTCGCAGCGAACAATCTGAGCCTAAGGCGCGTGCCGTCTGCTCGGCGCCGGCCGCGGCCCAAAATTCCGCAAAGATGCGCCCGCCACGTGCAAACCGGCGAGCGCACCTCTTCCAAAATTTAATACGACAAACAGATGCACGCGTCCGACTTGCGCCCAAAATTTCACCTCCGTAGCCCGCACCGTTCCGGAGCAATAGCCCGCCAAGCGTGACTGACGCGTTACATACATACATACATACATACATACATACGTACAGACGTTTTGATTTTTATATAAGTGACTAGAGGGACAGCATTACGCGCAGCGTAAAGAGGGACAGCATTAAGCGCAGCGTAATAAACCAAGTTTCATTGCAATCGGCCCAGTAGCGGCCGAGTTATGGCCAGAATAAATTTGGCGTCTCCTCCTGGCCGGCGGTGCCCTGTTCCGGTATTCATTGCCAAAGGTCAGTGACCTTCCGGCTCTGATTTCACCCAGTTTTGGAAGCGAAGAAACTGAGGATAATGCGCGTGCTCTCTGATCGGCGCCGGCCGCGGCCCAAAATCCCGCAAAGATGCGCCCGCCACGTGCAAGCCACCGAACCCACCCCCACCAAAATTTAATACAACAAACAGATGCACGCGTCCGACTTACGTCGAAAATTTCACCCCCGTAGCCCGCACCGTTCCAGAGCAATAGCCCGCCAAGCGTGACTGACGCGTCACATACATACGTACATACATACATACATACATACGGACGTTTTGATTTTTATATATGGGATCGAGCAGCACAGTGGCTAAGTTTGCCTCGTCTAGCTCACTAAAGCGAGTTTCGAAACGAAAGATCCATGTCTCCCAACTTTCATCTTTCAGGCCGCTAAATTTTCGAGTGTTGTGAATTTTCATATACAGCTCGCTAGTCATCTTAGCCGCTAACCCACGGCTAGCGTTTAGATAGAATCGATTAAATTCACAGTGTGGTGTCGCAGAACGATCACCTTACGGTTATTTACAATACCAACAAGTACGTACGGGGAAAAACCAGCCGGGTTCAAGGTGTACCTATTATGAATATAATGATCGACCTGATATTTATAAAAAGTATATCGCAAACGACTACACCCCGATAAATATCAGGTCGGTATCACCAGTAAGTAATATCGGCAATCGATATGAGTAACGATTGTGTCGTCTAAACGATCACATTTAACAGTACAAACTTGAACAAGGAGCGTAAAAGGCTTACCTCGACCGCGCCAATGTTGAGTCGAAAGGCAGCGTCTCCAGTTGTGATGTATTAGGTCGGGTATCACAACGGCAGCAGCAGCAGCAGCACGCGTGGCGAGCCCCAGGTCCAGAATGACCGCCGCCCCCGGCTGCGGCCGTGACCCCGCGCCGCCGGTGGCAGCGGCGCGCCCAGCGGGAGGCGGTCCGCAGTGGCGCGCCCAGCAGCGCGCCGAGAGGTGGCACCGGGCACACAGTGCACTAACACATCCTAACAGCTGTATGGAATTTCCAGTTAGAGCAACGTTGAATAATACGTTACTAACCTTTGTTGATATATGTATAGTACCTACCTACCTACCTAAACAGAATAAAGATGTTGTTGAGCAAAGAATAATGTAAATGTTGGTGATATTCTATGTATCTTTTTATTGTTATTTTTAGTTATAATTATTTATAATTTCTGATTAATGATGCATTTGTCATTCAAAATATTTTCTATTTCGCAATAATTTTCCCAATCGCTGCTCATTGGATGTATTAGACCATTCACCCTACCATTTCATAGCGCACAGTGCGTCACTGTTGAAACACATCAAATCCGACCGTCATGGAGCTGTTCAAAACACGGTGTTTCGTACAGTTTATTGGAGTAGAAACTTTATTGCGTGAATTTCCTTGATCAAAAGGCTCTCTTAAGAGCTGAGAGCAGTAAACCGCCATTGTTTGCGAAGTGCGAACTTATGCTGCCGACGACTTTGTGGATCTTCGTTGAAACGGAATATGGCCGCCGTTCTATAGGTTAATGCTCCTGCCGGCTTTCAAATAGCAAAGAAAAAGTTTGGTAAGGGCAAACCGCACAGCAGTTGCCGTCACACAGATAATAATCTTCCTTAGTCACGTGGCCTCACACCGCCCCGGGCGTGCGCAGCTCGGCGTACTTGCCGCCGGCGGGGGCCGCGCGCAGCCGCTCCTGTTTGGTGGCCCGCTCCTGGACCAGCTCCAGCTCGGCGCGCTCCTGCAGCAGCTCCTGCTCGGCCTTCTGACGCAGACCCTGCAGGCCGGCCTCCAGCTTCCGGAGTCGCTGCTGCGCCTGGTCGGCCTGCCGCTTCAGCAGCTCGATCTCGGCCTGGAACGAGCCCTCCAGCTCGGCGCGCAGGGCGGCCACGTGGCGCGCGTGCTGCTGGCGCAGCTGGAGCGTCACCACGCGCACGTCCGAGTCGGGCAGGCAGGAGAGGTGGCTGAGCGACCACAGGCCGTCGGTGCACACCGACTCGGTACGCTGCTCCACCGGGAACAGCGTGAAGCCGGCGGCGCACCCGTACTCAGCCACCGACGACCAGCCGGTGCCGTTCTGAGAGACGATGGTGGTGTGGGGCAGCGCCGGTGGTGACCAACAGGTCAGCGGCAGGCAGACGGCGCTCGAGCGGCCCACAGAGATGTCGGCGCACCGCATCGGCTGCGAGCAGGACGGCCGGAAGCCGGGCTCGCAGGAGAGCCGGACCGAGTCGTTGCCGGAGAGTGCGAAACTGCCGTGGGCCGGCTGATCGAGCATGGCGCAGTTGACGGGCTCGTCGGGTCGCAGGTCGGCCAGCGCCGCCAGCTCGGCCAC